CAACAGAGAATGTCATATTAGGAGATATCACCCCCAGAATTTGCAATAGTGGGAAACGATACCTATTAGTCTTATAGGTGTCACAACCTGACTCCCCTAGCAAGATATTGTCCGCTTTTGGCCTCCCCCCTCAAAGTCTTGTTCTTGGGCTTAAGCTAATGTTATTTTGCCCAAAAGGCCTCTTTCTAGGTAGAGAAGTGCCCACACATATAAGGCACTTCACTTTTCCCTCCCCGAGCGATGTGGGACTGCTCACCGTTCTTTTTTTTCCAAGATACGGGTCTTACAATCCACCCCCCTTGGGGCCCAGCGTCCTCGTTGGCACACTTCCGATCAGGGTCCAACTCTGATACCATTTGTCACGACTTGACTCCCATAGCAAGATATTGTCCGCTTTAGGCCTTCCTCCTCACGGTTTTTGTTCTTGGGCTCAAGCTAATGCTATCTTGCCCAAAAGGCTTCTTGCTAGGTAGAGAAGTGCCCATACATATAAGGCACTTCACCTTTCCCTCCCCGAGCGATGTGGGATTGCTCACCGTTCTTGTTTTTCCAAGATACGGGTCTTACAATAGGTGCAATCCATGATAAGTATATGTGGAAATGCACGCAGAATCTCAATATTAATGGGGTATGTCCAAAACAAGTCAGTTACAATATCACCAGATGTCCTATGTCACTCAATATAATTGTGTTCGGATAACTTAGTAAGTAATTGTTGCATTTGTGTTCTCCTAGCAAATTCTTTGGTTCTATTTCGGATCCTAGCATTGTATATTGTCTTCATAGTTGAAACATTCATTGCATTTATATCCTTCAGGATAACCAAAATATCTTTGGGTTTCACCAAACTCTTAGACATGTCTACCAATATGGCATTCTCCTCTTCAGAAAGTCACCTCACAAATGAATGACTTTGAAGATATTCTGAAGTATGATGGTTCTGTACTCCGCAAACCACCTCTAACTTCCAATTATCCTCATCACCAATATTGACACCTTTTAATAAGAATGGGCATCCACATTTCTTCATATCAGTGTCCCTAGCATACTTTTCATATCCACATTTAATTGTAGACTAAATCATTAGGTCAAAATATGAGTAATCATTAGGTTCGAATCCACACATCCTTCCTTGATTGGGTTTTATTATTTTATATATAAGCTCGCATCTATAAATGTTTATCCATCAAAGCAAGGCTAAGACTCAAAGCAAAACTCTTCATCAATAACCAATACACTTTCAACCATAGTAGTCGAGGTTTTAGCAATGGCAGCAGAGACAGCAAGAAGGCAGAGCGGCATGTTACGGCAGGAGAAGCTGGAATTGGTGATGTTAGATGATATAACGAGATCAAGTGTTGATCGAGTATGAAGTCTGTTTATGAGAGAAAAGCTATGTGTTGAAAGTTGTGCTCTACATCTATTTATAGGCTACTAGTTCTTGCACGCTTGGTGAAGAAATGGTTGAGTCTGTGTCAGTTCTTTCTTTGTAGTTTAATTGGTGAACTAGTACATTGATTTTGGCACCGTTGACGATGGTATTTCCAAGCTTGACATATTCTTCAACAAGTTGGTGCAGTAGAGCCTCATGGTTCAAATGGAATTTACTACGGTTGCTCAATCTTTCCCTTCACCGTATGACTTTCTCCAACTATCGAAGTCAACTTTAAGTTTTAACTTGGGTAGTCGCACTCACGCCATTAATCGAGCAAAAGCAATTTTGAAATATAAACAATAGCTTTATTTGGAAAGTTAGAAATATTGGGCCTGTTTGACCTTGGGCCTATACCTCAGGGTACTTGATTTTATGAATTCAAACAGCCCATGCCCATCTTGATTTAAAAATCATTAAATGTGCTTTTTTCCATTTTAGGTCCAAACACAAACTAGAATGAAGTTGAGATACCCTATGGAAAAATGAAAAATAAAACAATTTTGAAAAATAAAAAAGAAGTTAAATTAAGAAAGGTAGAGCTAGAGGTGGGTACAATATGATTTGGTCCGATTTTCACCTCAAATCGGAATTGGAATCGGCATTATTCATCTAGTCTTGTTCGGTTTAATTTTGATGAAAAAAATTATAAAACCAATTCGGTCCTATTTCCAATTATTTTAGTTTTGGACCGTAATTTAGGTGATTGCCCAACTGCATACAAATTGAGGTGATTGGGCCTAAAAATGTGATTTGGAGTTAAATTAGGGGAAAGATTATTTATGGGCTTAAATATTTAGCATTTGGCTTAAATATTTTATTTAAAAATAAAAAAATAAATAACCAGTTTAGTTTGATTCGATCCAATGTTTTTACAACAAAAACCGAAACTGAAACTGGACCAAACCGGTCCAGTCCTGTCCAGTATTTGGTCAATCCAATTTTTTTCGATTTTTTCCGGCCCAATTCCGCTGGGTTTTCCAGTTTTCGTTTTCGGTTTGAATGCCGACCCGTAATAGAGACAAATTTCATGTCCTATATGGCTATACCCAATCCCAGAAACGCAGGGTATACTGCCCAAAAGCGAAAAAGGCTCCTTTCCCCAATTCACAAACAGAGACGCACCAAAAAGCGACTCGCTTCCCAAACTCACGCAGTTCCAAAACCCAAAAGCTCCCTTTTTCCCTCTCCCCCCTTCTCTGCCCAGCAGACCAAGGCCACCAAAAACCTTCCTCTCACAGTCACAAACAAACACTCACACAAACCCAAAAGCGACTCACTTCCCAAGCAAAACCCAAAGTTCCTTTTCCCATCTCTCTGTACTTTTCTCTCCGTACCAGTCATGGCTCAAAACAGACCCAAACAACAAGAAGTAGAAGAAGATGAACAAGACGATTTGAAGAAGCTTATGAGCTCCTACCTTGGTCTGAGCTTGGGCATTTTCTTGGCTTTAGCTCCAACCAAGTTCCAAGAGCTACAGACCCAAGTGAGCGAGCTCTCTGCGAGGCTATGGCAAGCGGAAGAACAAGTGAGACAGATGAGATCGAGAAGAAAAGAGGACTCAAAAGCCAACGCGAGGGTTGTGGAGATCTTCGCCAGCCACCGCAACGGTTGGCAGGCGGAGGAGGAGCGGCCGGCGGAACAAGTCGGAGCCGGCCCCCCAAAAAACGGCCCCCCCCCT